CCTGTATCACCAGGGGAAGGCCAATGTAGTGGCCGATGCTTTGAGCCGGAAGTCGGTGAGTATGGGGAGCTTGGCATATATTCCAGTTGAGGAGAGGCCACTTGCAGTTGATGTTCAGGCCTTGGCCAACCGATTTGTGAGATTAGATATTTCAGAGCCCAGTCGAGTGTTGGCTTGTATAGTTTCTCGGTCTTCCTTGTATGACCGCATGAGGGAGTGTTAGTATGATGATCCGCATTTACTTGTCCTTAAGGACAGGGTTCAGCATGATGATGCCAGGGATGTGACCATTGGAGATGATGGTGTGTTGAGGATGCAGGGCCAGATTTGCGTGCCCAATGTGGATGGGCTTCGGGAGTTGATATTGGAGGAGGCCCATAGCTCGCGGTATTCCATTCATCCGGGTGCCGCAAAGATGTATCAGGATCTCAGACAGCACTATTGGTGGCGGAGGATGAAGAGAGATATTGTGGAGTATGTAGCCCGGTGTCTTAATTGTCAGCAAGTGAAATATGAGCATCAGAGACCGGGTGGCTTACATCAGCAGATGGTTATTCCTGAGTGGAAGTGGGAGAAGATCACTATGGATTTTGTTACTGGACTTCCACGAACTCTGAAGAAATTTGATGCTATTTGGGTGATTGTAGACAGGCTGACCAAGTCCGCGCACTTCATTCCGGTTTGCACTACTTATTCTTCAGAGCGGCTGGCAGAGATCTATATTCGGGAGATAGTTCGATTGCATGGTGTCCCAGTTTCCATCATATCAGATCGGGGCACTCAGTTCACCTCTCAGTTTTGGCAGGCGGTTCAGCGAGAGTTGGGTACTCAGGTGCAGTTGAGCACAACTTTTCACCCTCAGACGGACGGGCAGTCCGAGCGCACCATTCAGATATTGGAGGATATGTTACGTTCCTGTGTTATTGATTTTGGAGGGTCATGGGATCGGTTTCTACCGCTTGCAGAGTTTGCCTACAACAATAGCTATCAGTCCAGCATTCAGATGGCACCGTATGAGGCCTTGTATGGGAGGCGGTGTAGATCTCCAGTTGGTTGGTTCGAGCCCGGGGAGGCTAGATTGTTGGGGACAGATTTGGTTCAGGATGCATTGGAGAAGGTGAAGGTCATTCAGGAGAGACTCCGTACAGCACAGTCGAAACAGAAGAGTTATGCAGACAGGAAGGCCCGAGATGTATCGTATATGACTGGTGAGAAAGTCTTACTGAAGGTTTCACCCATAAAGGGTGTTATGAGATTCGGAAAGAAAGGGAAGCTAAGTCCGCGGTTCATTGGGCCTTTTGAGGTACTTAGGAGGATCGGGGAGTTGGCTTATGAGCTTGCCTTGCCACCTAGCTTGTTGGGCGTGCATCCAGTTTTTCATGTGTCTATGCTCCGGAAGTACATTGGGGACCCGTCCCATGTTTTAGATTTCAGTACAGTTCAGCTGGAGGGTGACTTGACTTATGAGGTAGAGCCAGCAGCCATTTTGGATCGTCAGGTTCGGAAGTTGAGATCAAAGGATGTTGCATCAGTGAAAGTGCAGTGGAGAGGTCGGCCCGTGGAGGAGGCTACCTGGGAGACCGAACAGGAGATGCGGAGCAGATATCCTCACCTATTTGAGACTTCAGGTATGTTTCTTGGCCGCTCGAGGACGAGCGTTTATTTAAGTTGGGGAGGATGTGACGACCCGACCCGTCATCTCATGTATTACCGCCCCGTTTTCCCCATTTATTGCTTCTTCATGTTTCATTATCGGCATTTGGTAAGTTAGAGTCGAATCAGTTTGGTTTTGGTAGAAAATGAGACATTTAGTCTCTTTAAGGAAGGCTTGTAATGGAAAAGTCAACCGGATGTTGACTATTGAGTTAGAGGGCTCGGATATGAATTCCGATGATTTGGTTAGCTTCGGGGGATGATTTGTGACTTAGGAGTGTAATCAAAAGTGATTTTGGAGGTCCGGAGTAGAATTAGGCTTGAATTGGCGAAGTTAGTATTTTGGCGAATTCCGGTTGATAGGTGAGATTTTGATCCGAGGGTCGGAATGGGATTCCGAGAGTTGCAGTAGCTTCGTTAGGTGATTTGGGATGTGTGTGCAAAAATTTCAGGTCATTCGGAGGTGATTTGGTTGGATTTTTGATCGAGTGCGTATTTCGGAAGTTTTTGAAAAACTTAGGCTTGAATTCGATGAGAAATGATGGTTTTAGTGTTGTTAGAGGTGTTTTGATGATTGGAGCAAGTTTGAATAAGGTATTGGATCATGTTTGTATTTTTGGTTGAGGTCCCGAGGGCCTCGGGGTGATTTCGGATGGCTAACGGGATGAAATTTGGAGTTTAAGGACTGTTAAGTCGGCTGGTATCTGGTATTTTCGCACCTGCGCAAATGGACCGCAGAAGCGGTCAGCAGAAGCGAAGGAGGATCACAGAAGCGAGGTTGGGCATTTTGGAGATTTCCGCAGGAGCAGACTATTTCCCGCATAAGCGGCTTCCGCAGAAGCGGTTAGCGACCGCAAAAGCGGTCCAAGACAATAAGTGAGATTCCGCAGAAGCGGAAAGTGACCGCAGATGCGGTAGTCGCAGAAGCGACAAAGGACCGCAGAAGCGGAAACAACTGATCAGAAGTGGGTTTTAATTCCCTTCGCGAAATTTTACAGAAACACATTTTTAACTTCGGACTTGGGGTGTTCTTGAGCGATTTTGAAGAGGAAATTCAAGGACTTCGATCAGGTAAGCATTCTCGGACTTAGAACACAATTTTATCATGCAAATACATGAAATTACACTGAAAACTCAAGGAATTAAGGTCAAAAATGGTGGTTTAGGGCTTGCAACCTAAGAGAACAAAAATGNATTGGACATGAAGAGTCGTCTGCAGCACCATAATTCTAACAAAAAGGACATAATCACAACGGTCAACAGAAGCTACAACAACAAAAGTAAAAAAGCAAATGTAATATGGTGTACACATATTTTTTGTTCCATATTAGAATGGATTTAATAGTTACAAAGATAATGCTTCATTCTCATAGTAAGTTTGTTATTAAGCATAAGCTAAATGGCAGGAACAATACACTAAACAAAGCTACTAAAATAAAAAGAGGAAAGTAGAACATCAGAAACTAAAGTGAAAGCATAAGTCTTCTGAAGTAGGATCAAAATAAAGTGAAACATAAATCAAAATTCAAACAACATTTATGTTGTTTAAAAGACACCAAACTACAACTATCTTAACTTTATCAAAACTTAGGGACAACTAAGAATAGAGAACTATTACCATCATTTCAAACTTATCAACCCTTTAAAGTAAATCTAAAAATAGCAAATGCATACGGATTTAGCAAAATAAGCTCATCCGACTTTAAAAAAATTCAAACAGAAAGAGCAATAAAGCAAGATGTGTAAAATAAATGATTATTAAGGGTTAGAAGCATAAAAGACACAAGAAAGCAGAAGTAGCCATTCTATGTTCAGTCTGATAATTGCATGGTGTATTACAGTTGCAACAACTACTGAAGTTGCTGAAACAGCAACAAAGAAAAACATTACGTGTTTTATTCATGTATTTCCTTCTACGAAAAAATTAATTTCTGGAGATAATTATATAGCATTTGTTAATTCGAAATAACTGGAAATAATTAAAAGGTGAAAAATAGCTGTCGACCTAGAATAAAAAAAGAATAAAAAGATACAGAACCATTTGCAAATGGAATTGGTAAGATATGCAAAAAAAATGAGTGATCATCACACTCCACATACAATCATTGAGCCCAACATATATATATTATAGCACTAAAACATGGTGGTTTATCTTTTTAAACAGGAGCAAAATTTGGGGTGTCACACCTTTAATACCCTTAACTTTGGAGTAAAGATCTGTGCAGCAACCATTGGTCTAGATCTTACTTTTCCAAATGGTAAAAGAAAACGCATGCAAAATAACATTAAGAGCAAAAAGTTCAAGCCATTCTGATAATGTGAAGGTCAATAAAGGAAGTTTCACCGCATTCAGTGCTGACTTTGTAACTTAAAATTGGAACTTTGAAGTTCAACAATGCTCACATACTTATAAACACAAATAAAACTACCCCAAAAATAAGAACGAAAGGAGATGCAGGGGATTGGATCATGTACCACTTAATTCAAAGTTGATGGTCTTATTTGTCTAAACAATTGTATTATACCTCGAATACAGCATCCTTTAAATCATTTGCCGATTTTTCGATAATCTTAGCTGCATCCTTATCCCACAACAGCAAAGAAACTGTACCGGTGCAATCCATCACCTTAACTTGTAGCCTATACCTGGAAAGAGTTTGTGCTTTTAATTTTAAAAACAGTAAAATAAAACTATAAATTATGGTCATACCTATGTGTGGGAGATTGAATCTGTTCGTATTTTTTACAATAGAATTTTTTACCCTCTTTGTCTAGTTTCTTTGCGCAATTTTTGCATGCTAAATAACACCATCCACGGTCTAATTCGACGTGTACAATAGTTGCTACAACCCAAAAATCTCCTGGCTGCGCATAAAAATTATATATACAAATGTTATGGAGAGAAAGAGAGGATAAAAGTTGTGATAATTAAAAATTAAAAAAAGTAAAAAGTAGGTACTCACATGCTTACACTCACTCAGATCCTCAATAGTTTTAACTTCAATGCTTCCAGATGCTAGCTCATCAGCAACAGAATGAGTTTTGTGAGATGAAATTTGAGTAATTCTTTGTGAGCTTCCTCCACGCACAGAAACCATTCTATTTCATTTTTAAGTTGAGATATATAAAGAAATATTAACACTAAAAATTGATTTGAAATATCCTTTAATTAAGTATAACTTATAGACCTGGAGCAAAAGTCAACAACTTGAGGAAGATTTGAATTGATCCAAAGCTTCGACGCGTGCCAAGTGTTCCTCACCGAATATTGTTCTATACACATAAAAGTAATTTTTAAGATTTTACTAATTGTATAAAGATATTATATTGTAAAGTAAGTAGACAATTTAATAACCTCGATATCGATGTGCTCTAATCAATTGCATGACGATGACAACAGGCTTATCATTGGATCCATTCAAATACAGCTTGATCTGTTCGACAAAGTCTCCCCAAAGAGTTGCAGAAATAGTATTGCTCCTACAATTATTATAAGGTTAAGCATAGGAATCAAATTAAAGAATTATTAAAATATTTAGTTAGTTTAATAAATTGTGGCGAGCTTACTCATAATCTTGTATCTCAATGTTCATGAACATACGGATGCTATCATCTTGTTTGATAGATTGTACGTCTTCATAGCTCACAATTTCGCCAATAACATCTACAATAACATTGAAATTTGTTCAAAATTAGTAATCATTATGGACAATATAAATGAAGATCGTTAAAGAATTATTTAATTTCATGATCTGCTTAAGATATAGAAATGGGCAAACCAAACATATAAGACAGAAAAGAGATTAAAGAATATTAACTGAAACCGAAAAATTGTATCCACGATTGACAAAAATCAGATGGTCATTTTCGAAGGAGGACACCTCAATTTTACAATGTATATTATATGGTTGCAACAGGGTTTGAACCTTTGGGCATGTGAAGTGTGTGCTTAACCCACAAAACACGCACGACGCTCTTACCACAAGACCATAATCTGTCATTTTTTTACCTTTTGGATCAGTTCTATAGCAGTATCTCACTTGGTAACATGACTTGGTGAGACTTCTTCCCATTTGATAGAACATGTTTGTAATTTCAGCTAATTATCTCATTCTCTTCATCATTTTCAGTTTATTCACCAAAACCAAATTCTCAATCAATTTTAGCAATAAATGGTCCCAACCAAAAGCACACAATAACAGAACCATGAAAAGTCACATAGGTATGTTATAGTGAATAACATCTTGTGACGACCCGACCCGTTGTCACGTGAGTTACCGCCCCGTTTTCCCCATGTTATGCTTCTTCATATTTCATTATCAGTATTTGATGTGTTAGAGTTGGTTTAGAATGATTTTGATAAGAAATGAGACACTTAGTCTCTTTTAAGAAGGCTTAAGTTGGAAAAGTCAACCGGATGTTGACTTTTGTGTTAGAGGGCTCGGATTTGAATTCCGATGATTTGGTTAGCTTCGGGGGATGATTTGTGACTTAGGAGTGCGATCGGAATTGATTTTGGAGGTTCGGTGTAGAATTAGGCTTGAATTGGCGAAGTTAGTATTTTGGCGAATTCCGGTTGGTAGATGAGATTTTGATCCGGGGGTCGGAATGAGATTACGAGAGTTGCAGTAGCTTCGTTAGGTGATTTTGGATGGGTGTGCAAAATTTCAGGTCATTCGGAGGTGTTTTGGTTGGGTTTTTGATCGAATGCGTGTTTCGGAAGTTTTAGAAGAACTTAAGCTTGAATTCGATGAGAAATGATGGTTTTAGTGTTGTTTGAGGTGTCTTTATGATTGGAACAAGTTTGAATGATGTTATAGGATGTGTTGGTGCTTTTGGTTGAGGTCCCGGGGGCCTCGGGGTGATTTCGGATGCCTAACGGGAAGTTTTGAACTTAAAGAGATTGCAGAATTTTGCTGCTTCTGGTATTTTCGCTTCTGCGGAAATGGGACCGCAGAAGCGGTACCGCAGAGGCGATTCAAGAACCGCAGAAGCGACAGTAGTCGCAGGTGCGAAGATGCCAACCGCATCTGCGGAGTCGCAGATGCGACAAAAGGACCGCATATGCGGAATTTTGAATTTTAGGAGATTCCGCAGAAGCGGAAATATTACCGCAGATGCGGTAGTCGCAGAAGCGACAAAGGACCGCAGAAGCGGAAATAACTGATCAGAAAGGGTTTTAATTCCCTTCGCGAAATATTTACAGAACACATATTTTAACTTCGGACTTGGGGTGTTCTTGAGCGATTTTGAAGAGGAAATTCAAGGACTTCGATCAGGTAAGCATTCTTGGACTTAGAACACAATTTTATCATGCAAATACATGAAATTTCACTGAAAACTCAAGGATTTAAGGTCAAAAATGGTGGTTTAGGGCTTGAAACCTAAGAGAACAAAAATGGAAATTTGAGGGGTCATTTGGACTCCGATTTTGGTGTTCTTTATATGTATAGACTCGCGGCGAGATAAGGAATCCGGTGATGTAAAATTTATAATTTTTCGAGAAGTGGACCCGGGGCTCGGGTTTTGCCAACTTCGTGATTTTCGATGTTTTTCGAGTCTTTTCGATTGGGTTACATTCCCTTAGCATATTGTGACGTATTCGTTGTGGTTTTGGTCAGATTCGACGCGCGAAGAGGTGAATTCGAAAGGCAAGGGCATAGCAAGCTAGGACTTTGGCCGGCTTGAGGTTAGTAATAAATGTAAATGCTGTGTTGAGGGTTTGAAAACCCAAATTTTCACAACGTAGTGCTATGTGAGGTGACTTGCACTCCGGATAACGGGCGTGGGGTAGAGCACCGCTAGGGATTGTGACTTGGTCCGTCCCGCTTAATAAAAGTGATACCTATATGATTGTAGATTTGTAATATCCTTATAAAAATGGATTAATTGTCATAATCGGGCTTCGTGCCAATTACTTGAATCCTTCAGGGATTATTTTAATGGTTTCCTGCCATAATTATAAATATTAAACTCAGTCCTGGCATTTAATACTATGTTTGAAATCTCAGCCATTTTCTTAAATTAGAACTTAAGTTAATATTTTCAAATGAAGTTTGGGCTGAATATTTTATACTATTGTGTGATTTTTGGACTGATATGGGATCGGGCTGCACGCCGCAGTAGTATTATAATGATATTGATATGAGGCCAAGGGCCTGTTTGATGCCACGAGATGACTTATTATTGCGCTTGGGCCGTAAGGGGCCCCTCCCGGAGTCTGCACACCCCCAGTGAGCGCCGTCGACATTAAATAAATGGAGCGGGCTGCACGGCCGCAGCGAGGTAGTGGAGGTACCGGTTTATGTGTTGCATTGCATATTTAATTGTTATTTATTTCTTCATCTGTTGTGATGTTTATTCTAACTGTATTGTTGTTTAATGGTATTATTAGCTTTACTTTGTGTTTATTTAGGATTTCTTATCCTCAGGCCTTATTTATATTTATTACTTTCTGAGTTGGAAGTACTCACAATACTCCCTCCACCTTGTGTGCAGATTCAGGTACACCACAGGGTGAGTGAGGACTTGTTTAGCGGAGCAGTAGATATCCGGGAGTATCGAGGTAGCTGTATGGCGTTCGCAGCCTTGATCTCTCCCTTCTATCTTTTATTATTTTATTCGTATATTTTTCTTAGTCGGACTTGTAATAGGTGAATAATCTGTTTCTTGAGGCTCATGTTCGTGACACCAGATTCTGTGGACTATTTAGTATTTTATTTTGGGGTTTTCGAATGTTAGAGATTATATCAGTATTTCCGCACTAAATTGGTATTATAGTAGTGAATATTTATTTATTTATTTATTTAGATTATTTGGCTAAGGTTGCGTAAATGGTCGGGCTGGCCTAGCAATGTGTTGGGCGCCATCACGACCGGGGTCTGGGTCGTGACACATCTACAATAACATCTACAATAATATTGAAATTTGTTCAAAATTAGTAATCATTATGGACAATATAAATGAAGATTGTTAAAGAATTATTTAATTTCATGATATACTTAAGATATAGCAATGGGTAAACCAAATATAAAAGACAGAAAAGAGCTTATAGAATATTAACTGAAACCGAAAAATTGTACCCACGATTGACTAAAATGAGATTGTCATTTTCGAAGGAGGACACCTCAATTTTACAATGTATATTATATGGTTGCAACAGGGTTTGAACCTTTGGGCATGTGAAGTGTGTGCTTAACCCACAAAACACGCGCGGCGCTCTTACCACAAGACCATAATTTGTCATTTTTTTTACCTTTTGGATCAGTTCTATAGCAGTATCTCACTTGGTAACATGACTTGGTGAGACTTCTTCCCATTTGATAGAACATGTTTGTAATTTCAGCTAATTATCTCATTCTCTTCATCATTTTCAGTTTATTCACCAAACCCAATTTCTCAATCAATTTTAGCAATAAATGGTCCCAACCAAAAGCACACAATAACAGAACCATGAAAAGTCACATAGGTCTGTAATTTTTTCATGCGTCATTGACACATATTTGAAATGCCCTAACTTGGTGAATTCCAAAATTTAGGACGTGGGAGTTAGAGCCTCTTTGGTGGTAAAAGAATTTTTCAACTTCTAGAGAAGTACATAATCTTCTCTGTCTGTTTCCAGAAAGGTAGTTAAATTTCATTAATTGGAATTTACTTTACGCGAGGTTAATTTTATAGTACACCCATTTACAGCATCACAACTGACACAACTACCAAATACATAGATGTATATCAGTCACTATAAATTTAATAGCCATTTCAGAATAAATATTCCATTCAAGAGCACTCACTGGTGAGAAATATTTTTTCTTTTAATTGCAGGAAGAAAATATTTCTCATACCATTTTCAGATCACTTTTCAATTTACTCATATTTTTTCTGAAGTTATAATCGTCAAAAGTGGTATAGACTGTTACAAACCAAATAAGAGCACCCCAAAAAGGAACTACTTGACACATATATTGAAGTCATTTAAAAATCAAAACATAATCTTCTCTGTCTGTTTTCAGAATTTTTTCTGAAAACAGACAGAGAAGATTATGTTTCTCATACCGTGGGAGAAAACAGACAGAGAAAACATTTCTCATACCGTGGGAGTTAGAGCCTCTTTGGTGGTAAAAGAATTTTTTCAACTTCTAGAGAAGTACATAATCTTCTCTGTCTGTTTCCAGAAAGGTAGTTAAATTTCATTAATTGGAATTTACTTTACGCGAGGTTAATTTTATAGTACACCCATTTACAGCATCACAACTGACACAACTACCAAATACATAGATGTATATCAGTCACTATAAATTTAATAGCCATTTCAGAATAAATATTCCATTCAAGAGCACTCACTGGCGAGAAACATTTTTTCTTTTAATTGCAGGAAGAAAACATTTCTCATACCATTTTCAGATCACTTTTTAATTTACTCATATTTTTTCTGAAGTTATAATCGTCAAAAGTGGTATAGACTGTTACAAACCAAATAAGAGCACCCCAAAAAGGAACTACTTGACACATATATTGAAGTCATTTAAAAATCAAAACATGTGTATGGCAGACAGAGCTTCATAGGATCTAATTCTTCAAGTTTGTCCCTCATAGTCAAATAAAATCAAAGTGTGATTAAGTTGTATTGAATTACTTCTCACTTAGCATTTTTCAAGTTTGAAATTTCACTGATTTATCAAGTAGTCCTATTTATAGACTGTAGCAATAGGGAAATTATTTTTTAGCTACTACTTACTGCCATGTTTAGTTATATTGAATTACTTCTCACTTAGCATTCATATAACAAATATCTAAAAGTAGAATGAAACTGGAAAAAATGAGAAATTTAATTACCGAATAGCTCCGTATTGTCGAATTCCTGAGGATTTGATAGCTGGTCATAGGTTTTAAATTTGAAGATGCACATGTTGAAATGTGGATCATGTATTTCCTCAACAGTGGTCTTATGCGTGAACATCAACTTAAACTTGTGGTCTTTGGTCTTCAGTTTCATATTATTTGGACAAACCACGAAATTCTTCATGATGTACAAACCCATTTCCTTAATTTGTTGATTGAACCTTTGGATAAAAGACCTGCCAATACTTGCGTGAATGCGGTCGCCCTAAAAAAATAGTCAATTAGTTAAAATAACTAAATTATTTTCTATATGACTGTAATATATTTATTCATATGTAAACAATGCAAATAGAAAGTAATCATTCAGTTTAAATCAATACCTTTTCATCCATCACAATAATCTCAATAGAAAAAGGCGTATTAGGTCTGTCGCGATCCGGATTTTCTCAAAGCCTGACAACACGAACCTTTANTTCCAATTCATTGACTTGCTGTAATTTCGCTAATAAATTACTTGAGCAGCCATTAAGTCCTGAATATAGACAGAGGTATTCATAAATATTAGTACAAACTACAACAAAATACTTATAGAAACACATATGAAGCAAAATATCATGTGAAATAATTGACTCTTTGCTGACGATTCTCCAAAAAATCATCAGCAAGAATCTGTCGTATAATCCTAAGATTGGTAAGCAACAGTTGCCATAGGAGTTATGTTTGCAACAAACAACACAGAAAAATCTATCAAAAAATCTATATACAATCTCAACTGTAATAAAGATTGTTTATGAAATACAAATCATACATCACCTATTGTAGTCGACAATTGCTGTTTGATATGCAGAGGAGGGAGAAAGAATAGAAATATATATTGTAAAAGTAGAAAACTGAATTGAGAAAACTGTGAAATCATGTTACTGAAAATGTAGGAAAGAGGAATGCGTGGGCGAGGAGTTGAAATCGTGGTGAGAGATCGTGGGATAGAAGCCGAATTTGTAGGATTGCTATTTCTAGGGCACAAAGGCGAAGGAAGAGCGTGGGTCTGAAGAGCCAAATTCCCAATTCCTCTTTCTAGGGCAAATTAGCGTAGAAACTACTGGTTGTTTAATTTAATTTAATGATATACCTATTAATTATTTTTAAATTCAAATTTTTAAAAAAGAAAGTAATTTAACCTAAACTAACTAATAGCGTGGGATTCAATTTCCAATAAAACAATAGAAAGTACTTTTTTTTTAAAATATAAAATAGCTAATTAAGTATTTTCAAGTTCAAAATTTAAAAAGAGAAACTACTTTAACCTAAATTAACTAATATGTCCTAAAAAATGCCACATGGCATTCTATGCACTTGACAAATGGCAAAATCCTATGGTTGACTTTTTCCTTTTAAGTAAATATAAAATATAGATATTTAATTCTTTACAAGGAACTCTTCAAAAATATTGTTGTCTTATCACAAAAAAATAAATATTATGAACCCAGCCCATGAAAGAAATTAAACTCAAGTTAAAGTCTTAAGACATCAATTGTATAGTAATTGTTTAGGTCATATAAAGATGCAGAAATTGATCCCCTATACTATCTAAGAGGCAAAATGTACATATTTCGTTTGGTAACGACATAATTTTAATTGTTCACTAATTTGCTTCTATCATTATTAATTTTTCGTTTTTTATGATATTTAGTTATTTACCTACATTACTAATGAATAATATATGCAAGATTAGGCCATCTGGCTAAATTGATAAACAATCTAACAAGTTAGACTGAATGAAAATAGTAAAATGTTTTGATCGACAAAATTTCTGAACAATTGAAAAATACAAATCAAAAATTTTCCATCCAGCAAAATATATGAACTTAAAAAGATACTATAATAAATAGTACTAAATTTATGAACAATACAATCAATTTTTGTTGGATGTGAATAATATAGTAAATAGATAGAATAATGGTAATATCAAATATTATCTTATCCAGTAAAACTTAGTAAAAAAATTGAACACATGCAAGATATATGTCATATGGCAAAATTTGTGACCAATTCAAAATCGGGCTTTCCCTTTTTGTGCAGTTGATATCGAGGGAGGAGCATGATAAGTCAAGGATCGGCTTCGATTTATATCAAACTGTGGTTAGGTTGTCAAGCTCAAGACCACGAGACTGATTGAGATCAAGACCGACCAAAACCGAGACCGAATGAGATTGAGATCGATCAAGATCGGGACCGAATAAGATAGAGATCGAGGGAAGCTTGCTGGGTCGAATAACGGAATGACGAAGTATCCGCAATCGGGCGAGGATCACGGCGCAAATCTCGGCACGTATCAAGAAGAGGCCGATTAATTAGACAATCATGAGATTTCTTACTATATTTAAAATTGTACCAAGAATAGGACTACCCTACTATATAAAGGGAGTCTGATCGTTTGTAAAAGACATCATATTCACGTTACTAAAAGCAATATATTCTCTTTCTCTTAAGATATCAATATTTCTGTTACTTTGTTCCTACTTTCCAGCGAAATACTCATTTGATTTGAGGGCAACCTAGCTCAAGGATCAAAGCAATACATTTCATTTGGTTTGCTTTATTTATATTTGCAGTTAATTTCAGTATCAATTTACATTTTCTTTCAGTTTGTGCTAAGTAAATCACGTGTCCTTAAAAGCGTAGCATAAATTCAACTATTATCTGTTTTTAGGGTAAACAGTTTGGTGCCCACCGTGGGGCTAAGGATAATAGTGATTGCCTGGTACAATTTTCGTAACACACACTATTTTACGTTTGTTCTTTGAAGTGTCTTTGATTGCAAGATTAAAAAATGTCAAACTCTCAGTCAGCACCTCAACACATTGACAATGATCTCAGCCACCACGGCGAGAATGAGAACATTGAACCAGGAAACGTTGTACCCCCTGCTGGCCTCGATGGAGTTCCAGTTGTAGACACATTCGATGTCAGTTCACATGTAGCTATCAATGGAAATATGGTCGTCGATTCCGAAAGCAACGTTCGTGGAGGTACCCGATCAGCTACTCAGAATGCACACGACGGTGAAGATGGCGGGATCAACATGCGGGTAATCTTCGAAATGTTGCAGGCCCAACAGGCAGCAATAGCTCAGCTCCAAAATCAGAACCAAACGCCAAGCAGGGTCGAACTTGAGCCATCCCAAGAAGTTGTACACAGGGCTGAATCGGCTTCGAGAAAATCGAATGAGAATGAATCAGAGACCAATCCTGCTATTATAAAGATGCTCGAAGAATTGAAAAAACGAATCAAGACAGGGGAAAAGAAGATCGAGGAAAATGATAAGAAGGTGGAAACCTATAACTCCTGTGTCGACCAAATCCCGGGGGCACCACCGATATTGAAGGACTGGATTCTAAAAAGTTTGAACAAAAACCTTTCCCCCCAAGTGCGGCTCCGAAGCCAATCCCCAAGAAGTTTTGTATGCCCGAGATTCCTAAGTATAACGGGATGACTGATCCAAATGAACACGTCACCTCGTACACGTGCGCCATCAAAGGAAATGACTTGGAAGATGACGAAATTGAGTCCGTATTGCTGAAGAAATTCGGGGAGACTTTATCGATGGGTGCCATGATATGGTATCATAATTTACCGCCTAATTCTATTGATTCATTTGCTATGCTTGCAGATTCTTTTGTAAAGGCACATGTCAGAGCCACTAAGATTGCAACAAGAAAGTCGGACCTTTTCAAGGTAAGGCAGAAGGACAACGAGATGCTCAGGGAATTCGTATCTCAATTCCAAATAGAACTAATGGATTTGCCACCGGTCACCGACGATTGGGTTGTTCAAGCTTTCACTCAAGGCCTCAACGTTCGGAGTTCCATAGCTTCACAACAGTTGAAGCAACATTTGATCGAGTATCTAGCTGTCACTTGGGCCGATGTACAAAATCGGTATCAGTCGAAGATCAGGGTCGAGGATGACCAACTGGGACTCCTTCTGGGTCTGTTTATCCTAACAGGCCCGCGGATAGAATCAAGAGGGATATCGACCGAGAACCAAGGTCGAATAGAGATCGATCTCAACCGTATAACAGAGATCGTAGAGGCAGCGGGTCCGGGCGTAACTTTGCACGCAATGAGAGGAGAAACGACCAAGGTCAAAGTTCACAGGGACTCATGAGAAAGGGTGGTTTTGACAGGGATGCCGGGCCCAAAGAAGCGCCACGACTGTCGAAATATAACTTTAACGTAGATGCATCCGCCATCGTATCAGCCATCGGACGTATCAAGGATACTAGATGGCCTCGACCTCTGCAGACCGATCCAGCCCAGAGAAATCCAACCAAATATGAAAGTATCTGTCACGACCCAATTTCCAACCCAGTCGTGATGGCGCCTCTCGTGAAGACAAGGCCAGCCAACTAACCCAATTTGTCTCTTTAACAATTATTAAACATAGATGAATGGATAAATACGACTAAATGGCATTTATAACAGATAATTTACAACCCTACATAACCCGACCGGGGTGTCACAAGTCACGATCATCTAAAGAAACCTTAACACAACTACAGGCCAATAAATATATACAAGTAAAATTTCTGGAAAACAAAAGACAACATCCGGTGCCGCGAACGCTGGCGGTCACCTTGCTCAGCTACAATAACAATACCTTCAATCTGCTAATAACCCGCTACCGGGTGAACGATACCTGCAACTGCACGCGAGGTGCAGGGAGTAAAGTGAGTACTTCCAACTCAGTGAGTAATAGAAGTAAATAATAACTGAGCAGCAAGAAATCACGTAAAGCAACCAACGGGCTGTACAGAAGCCGGGTACAATTTCCGAGAAAATAGTGAAATCAGAGAACTCTTTAGGAATGTTTCGGCTCAGTTCAAATCTCTTTTGAAAATGGTCCTTTCAATAATTACAAAAGCTGTTCAAAATAGTTAGTGCTGATTAGCACAGAAAATCCGCCCCTCGGGCACAAATACCACAGCATAGCAGGTAAAAATGCAAATAAGTATGCAAGATGAGCACATAAAAGTTCGCCCCTCGGGCATGATTTTCGTTACTAGTCAGTCATTGTTACCTGACCGGTCAGCCATTGTTACCTGACCAAAATGCGTATTACAGTGCCATTGTTACCACTGGTTAGTCATTGCTACCTGACTGGTCAGTCATTGTTACCTGACCAAAACGCGTATGACAG